CCCGCCCCCCCCAATGAGCCCCCAAACCACCACCCTGCTGAGCCTCACCCCTGCATCAGAAGCCCCCCATACCCAGACCACCACATGAGCACCACCTTGACCCCCCACCCCACCAAGCCCTAACCACCTTCACCATGCCTCCCCTTGCAGGGTCCCAATTCCCCTCTGCACCCAGAACCCTGCACCAAGCCCCTGTGCACCCACGGTCAGTCAGAACAGCAGCAAATACTTCTGCTCCTATCTGTTTAACATACATTCCTCCACTATACTAATGAGGTCTCTAAATACCATTGCAAAAAGGTTTCATTTCCCTTCTGTGGTGCTGACTCAATAGTAAAATACATGCTGCCCCCTTCTGGTGATGATTAAGTATTAGCTTAAAAATGAACTAAAGATGTGTATTACTTATTTCACTAAATAAAATATCAATTTCCTGTTTGGGATTCCCTCTGTGGATTCCAAGGAGCTGTCCCCTCAGCAGAGATCCAGGTAGGTTGTTACTTATTATGGGAGCACCTGCATTTATGCTGCACACCATTTGCGTGTGATAAGGTCAGATCTCAAGGTGTGTCACAGTCAGAAGACCCAGTGAACTTAATAGGAATTGTGCACAAAGAAAATCTCAGAATCAAGTCACACAACGTTTTTAAATCCAGCCAATTATTCCGTTACATTCAACATGCCTTAAGACAACTAGTCTGTTCCTTTTTTCTTCCCTTTGCACAGATAACAGAAGCATCGCATCAGAATGCCTTGTACATTAACCAGTCGTGTTGCTTTAATCATCCCTCTACATCCCCCTGGCCTAGAAATAGCTATTTAATTAAAAAAAATTACAAGTAAGTCAATAAAAGCTTGTTTCTGTGCTCACTATCAATGGCAAAAGTCCCACTGACTTCAGGGAATGCTGGATCAGGCCTATAGGTGTCAGGGAGTTAAATGTTATATTTTGTACAATAAGTTTTACAGGCAAAACATTTAGTAGGATTTTAAGATTTAAGTAAAAGCATTTGGAACAGTAAGTACATTATTAGTATATCATTTTTAGTAAGAGCCCAGTTCAACCCAACTCCCATTGACTTCAAATCAGAGTCGAATCAAGCCCTAAATTGCCCCCCTTCCCTTTTGAAATGGAAGAATGGGGGCGGGGGGGAAATTAATTTAAAATTTAGAAGGGAAAAAAAGTTAATTGGATCCTAAATACTATCCATAAAGCCTCTAAAATGCTATAGACTAGACATTATTAACGAAACTGTGAAGTGTTATTTATTGATGAAGCCCAGTCTGAGAACGATCAAAACGTAACATCTGTTTCTGAAATCAGAAGTGGTACTAAGTTTATTCAGCTGGATAGTACTTTATAAGTGCCCCCTAGTGGCTGCCCTAACTTCTAAGAAAGTTACAAATAACTCAAAGCACCTTAAAAATGTATCTACTATAGCTGGTTAGTTATGGAACATGCAGTTTGTGTTGTTTGTAAACTGAAACTCACCTAAATCTGCTATGCAGCACTGCCCATTTTTTTTAACAAGGATATTTTTGCTCTTCAAGTCCCGATGGGAAATGGCAGGCTTCCCCTGGGTCCCAAATATCTCTATGTGCAAGTGTGCAAGACCACTGGCTATGGACAGGACTATTCGTAGGCAGCTGACAGTGTCTAGTGTAGTGAGTTGTAGGTAGTCGTACAGAGATCCCATTTCATGATAGTGTGTAATTAACCACAACTGGGTGCTGGAGTTTCTAGAAGTCATATCTGATGCAATAAAACCTGAGACGAGAAAAGCAAAAAGACAACAAAATTAGATTACATAGATTTCAAGTTTACATCAAGAGGTAAAATGTCACCAACAACTTATAATTTAAAAAACTGAACTGAAATGTAGTCATACTTGTGAAAGGCCACTGTGGAGATGATAAATACTATGGTGAGGGAGCAATCTTAAAAGATATTTATAAAATGCAACTCAAATTAAGTCACAAAAATGCATCAGACCTTCATTTGAATGACTACAATAAGATAAAATTGCAAGTTAGAAGTCAAAATCAAACAAGCTTTTTAACAACTAATATCCACAGGTCAAATTTTGTTTTAAACGATTCCCTTTATTTGGATGTTGGCCAATTAAGCAAATCAGTTTTTAAAAGGAATTATTAAACTAAGTGTTTTCAGCTTTTATTCCCAATAATTAAAATAAAGTAACTCCGTATTTGCCTTCTACTGTAATCAAAGCCAAGTTATTACACAGTATTTAGATTGCTAAACTAATCAAGTGAATACCCATAGCTCTAGCCACCTTGAACTCAATTATACATACTCACCCCCACCGGAAATGCAGTCATAATCGAACAAACCAACTGATACCACATTTCACTTCAAAGCCCCATCAGTCACTCTAGACCCTAAACCTTCCGCAAATGCCTGCGAGAACAGGCAAACCCTGCAAAGTGCATTTGAGGTCAAATTATTTGAGCTATTTTGGGTCATGGAGTGAGGAATGAAACCAAAACTGAGTGGCTTGCCAGCAACTTCCCCCCACTTAAAGGAAGGGAGCTTCAATTTGAGCATGACTGCAACTCTAACAGCGTGGCATTGGAAGAGAAGCAGTCCCTCAAATAGGCAGGTCCCAGGGCATCTAAATCTTTATTAGTCAAAAACAACACACTACTTGAGACCAACAAGCAGCCAGAGCAGATCACAGAAAATGGGTGTTCCAGATGAGCTATTGTGCTCAGTAAGCAAGCAGCCATATTTTGCACCAGTTTAACTGTCAGATTTAAGGTGTAGCCTCATGTAGAGTGCTGCAATAGCCTAATTGGAATGACAAAGGCATTGACAGGACTAGGAGTGAAGGCCGTATCCCAAAAGAAAAGACCACACCTTTCTGGCCAAGAGTATGAGGGGGGGGGGGGGAGGAGAGCAGAGAGTAACAATAGCTACTTGATAATCTGTGAGCAACTGTTGGTCTAACCAGACCCCCAGATTATGAGCACATAGTAGCCAGGGAGTACACCCTCAAATCAAGATATTTCCTTCAAGCTACCATCACCACCGTGGCTTCGGTCTCTTCTGGGCTGAGCAACAAACAGCTTGCTCTACAGTTGCTGGAAATGCCACTTGGGAATTGCTGAAGAAAAACAAATTAGAAGATGCACCCTAAGGCTGTAGCAAACTGCTCTAGGGACCAAACCCAAGATGCTCCCTCCACAGGATTGGTGGACAAAAGGTGGCCAATTGCCAAGAGGAATTTAGCAAGACCTAGTCGAGCATCTTTAGTCAGATGATCACTCTCTTCCCCCCCCCCCCCCCACCCAAATGCTGGACAACTCAGTTATTATGCAAGGTACCTCAGAGGTAGAGCAAGATGCAAAGACAGCTATTAATTATGGCTGGATTTCTTGATCCTTTCTAGAAAGTCAATTGAGAGCAATTTCTTTTGTAAACTGAGAACCAAGACCCCCAGAGGTGTCCTAGATCAAAATCAAATCCAAGATCCAGAGGTGAAAGAGGGAGATGCTCTTGTATTTACAATAGAAGTTTATTCCCAAGTAAATAGAAATAAAAAGTTGTTTCTTTTAAATAAAAGCCCACAGGGATAAACTACAGGGCACACCCAAACGCAAATGCACTTCCAGCCCTCACACACACGTTTCCCTTTAAAATTCTGATTTCTTGTAAATATGACATTTGACATTGTGCCTTAAAAAAAAAATCCAAGGAATAACCAGCAAAATTTCACAGTAATCTAGAATGACTCAGTAAAATCATGTCAGTCTAACAGCGGAACATTGGGAAAGGGTAATATTTCAGCCAACTCAGTATACTCTCAGGAAGAGAAGTTCAAGAATTTACATTTTTGGAGACCACAATATTATTTTTGTAACAGCAGAGGAAACTGTTTCAGGAAACATTTGACAAACATCTTGGAGGCTGATCCATGGAGCCAGGGGGGAATTCTCTAACAGGAAAGAAACGAGAAAGAGCCTTCATAAAGTAATTTAAAGCGAGATGGGTAAGGTAAAGTCACTAAGCAGTAAACAGACTGCTGCTTTTCATTTTTCAGAATGATACATTACTGAAAAGGCAGAGACTGGGAAAGAAAAAAGTACTACCTAAACTTACAAACTGCAATTGTGGTTCAATACATACAAGTGTGACAAAATTAGAGAAGAAAAACCATTTTCTTAGGCTTTTAGCGCCAAAACAGAGAGAGTGTTGCAACAGGTACAGTTGACAGAGAGAAAGTGATACAGGGTCTCAGTATTCAATATTGTTTATATACAGGAAAAATGGGCTACTTCATAAAGGACAACTCTAAAGTCGGACTTTAAAGCAGATTTATTAAGTTGATACAACACAAGATCGCTACAAAAAAAGTTAAGAGCATGAAAGGAAAATTAACAACCCAGAGTCAGAAGCTGTTCCACAGCAATGAACATAAGGATATGGAACATCTGATTTTGGTTCAAGCTTTGGCGCACAAAGACAGGAGTTTTTCAAATACACATAAGGAGAGAAGATAGTAGCAATAGCAGGAAAATCAGCAAGGAAATGGAAGTGAAGCTCATTGTCAGGCCATGGCAAGTAGCCTGTTTGCATCCATAATCCTAAAACCAGTGAAGTTTTAGCATATTTTAAGGTGCGAAGGTAGGAACATTTTATTTAAGTGAGCAAGGAGAGGTAGAACCAACCTGTTCACAATCACCTTCATTAGTCTGGTACATTGATCTCACAGTACCAGGTTATAACCAGACCATCTCATGATCTCCTCCTCCCTGCATTAGTGCAAGCTCTTGAAATATCTTAAATTAAATTAATGGAGATATCCCATCTCCTAGAACTGGAAGGGACCTTGAAAGGTCATCGAGTCCAGCCCCCTGCCTTCACTAGCAGGACCAAGTACTGGTTTTGCCCCAGATCCCCAAGTGGCCCCCTCAAGGATTGAACTCACAACCCTGGGTTTAGCAGGCCAATGCATGTTTGTAGGCTTAGTAGATGTTAATTTCAAATGCCATTTTCACCAAGAATATAAGGTAATTTAAAAACACCATGAAAATATTTCCTAATGTTTGGTTCTACATCTTTGTAATAACATCCTTTTTCCCTTATACAGGCAACTCATTTCTGTGTCCTCCATGAAGTCTAAAGGAATACTTATACTCAAATCTAATAAGCACATGTAAGTAATCAACAGTAAGAACAAAACTTTGAGAGTTTTTCCCTCTTTTTTTCCTACCCCATTACACCTATGGAGATTAAAATGACATTGGGCCTGGATCCAATGCAAGTGACTTGGACAGCTGTCACACAACTCAAAATTGTCTGGTTCTCCCCTTTGGTCACACTGCAGTGTGACCTGACAGGCTACTATAATATAATAATATATGGAGATATACCTATCTCACAGAACTGGAAGGGACCCTGAAAGGTCGAGTCCAGCCCCCTGCCTTCACTAGCAGGACCAAGTACTGATTTTGCGCCAGATCCCGAAGTGGCCCCCTCAAGGACTGAACTCACAACCCTGGGTTTAGCAGGCCAATGCTCAAACCACTGAGAAATCTCTCCCCCCAGACCCAGGCTGCACACCTCCTTTCTTTTTCCTGCTAGCAATCAACTAATAGCCACGTTGCCTGCTTCTCACTAGCTTGTTTTTGCATTAAGGCAATGACTCTTGCTTTGAGGACCTCTCTGATCAGAGGCCTTAGATTCCAAGGATTGGCCTCTAAATCCCTCCCTTATTCCCATAAGTGTGTCTCCGCTCCCTTTTCCCAAAAGGATGTACCAAAGCCTGGATACTGAGGGGCACTTAGAAAATTGAAGAGCATGCAACATTACAGTTCAAAGTTAACTCAGTTTCCTAGTGTCCCTGCTTCAGTATAATGGGTGCAATTGTTCTACTTACCTAAAATATTTTCATGCCGCAGTAACACAGTGTTGTACAATTCAGTTTCCCTGAACCAGGATTTTTCATCTCGTGAAGAAAAGATCTTCACTGCAACGTTTTCTCCTTGCCACTGACCCCTCCAGACCTCTCCATATCTGCCTTTTCCTGACAAAAAGCAAACAGGATTTTGATCAACATTCTTCATTAGTGTCAATGGAATAATAAGTTAGCATAAATAAATCTCAAGACAATACAGTCTAAATAAAACAATTTTGAAAGGTGATAAGCTGCAGTGCCTGCAGCTCCTTGCCCTCTCTGAAATGCTACTTTAACACAACATAGACTGCAAAGGTAAACACACACACCCCCCAATCCATAACTAGGACGCACTTCAACAATACAAATAAATAAATGAATCCCTGTTGAGGACTGGGCCCACTTCTACCATGGAGGATGCGCAGTAACTGGAACAAGTATATATCTAATATGATGCACAAAACAAAAAGCCAATTGAGAGTCACACGTATTGGCTACATCATGGCAATACTACCTTGACCACTTTACTTGCACGTATGCCCTTCCCCATATCCTTCATCAATCAGTCTGGTCTTTAGATTGTGACCTCTTGGGGGTGAAGACCATGCCTTCTTACGTGTTTGTACAGGAGCTAGATTACTGTGGATGCTACCAGGAACAATTGTGATCACCACCACCAGTAATGAAAGTGTCATTACAGCCTAAGCTAGAACATTGGCTACAGTGCAGCAAAATCATGGCTAGCTCTAGGTCTTGTGGTCAGCAGGTTACACAATCCAGACAATCTGCAAACTCTGAAAATAGAGCATGCAGTGCACACATGCTGGGGAGACTGTGTTCTTTACATTTTATTTTGCTTACAGCATGAGCCCTGCAAAAACAAATGATATGTCGTGGATATAAATATAAAGTTTCAACAGGTCAGTTAAATGGACAAAACAGAACTTCAAAAACAAAACAAAAAAACCAAACTATTCAAAGATATGAAAACCTATCCTATTTTAGGATTCGAGTGTGCTGTAAACACGAGGTGGTTGCACACTTTTTTTCCTTCTGGATACCAAGTGCATGCACATACCAGGAGCTCCTACCATTTCGCTATGCCCCCCTCCCCCAAACGCTCCCTGTGTGCCACTCTCCCATCCCCTCTATTTCAGGGACTCCCAGCAACTCCACCCACCCATTTGCTCATGCCTTGGTCTCTGCGTCCCTATTCCATTGTTCCCATTCTCCGCCCTCCAACAGGACATGGGATGTGGCCCCCCATATTCCTCTCCCAATCCCTCTCCTGGGTCCCCACTTTGCCCTCCCATCTCCATCATTTCTACCTCTGTGTCCCAGCCCCCACCAAATCTCCATTCCCCCAACTCTAGGTCCCTGTTTCCATGTCCACCCACTCAGCTCCTCACCCCTCTGGGTCCCTGCTTCCCCAGTCACCACCACTCTCTGGTGTTGAGATTTGCTCACATTGTCTGCTCATGACAATGCATTAGCAGTAGAGTGCCACACAGCAGAGCCCAAGTGGTAAAGAGTTCTGATCATTATAGTTTTCACTATTGTATATAGTGACTCATCTGATACAACTTGTGGTCTCTCTAATATGTATAGCTGCCAAGGTTCAAGGGTTTTTTTGGGGGGTGGGGGGGTTGGCACATCGATTCAACAACAGGTGTAATCAAGTGTAAAGAGATATGAAACACTGATGTGGTAGCGCTGTCACACACAAGGGATTTCCTGCCCAAGAGCTTTCACTAGCAGTGCTATGTAGCCTTCCTATCTAAACACTGCCAACTTGAGCTAACTTAAGAGCAGGCTCACTTCCAAATACACATGGGACGTGACCATCTGCAGACCCAAGACCATGTAAGATCATCAAGTGTATCCTAACACTCCGGGTTAATACAAACTGAAGAAAAACTCACATGTGGTTTTGACATAAAAGTGTGAATGTTTGTCACTATTTAATACATTCCATACCAAGAACAGACAGACAGACAGCACTAATACCATTAAGGCTAGTCAACACACTAAGGGGCAGTCAGGGACAGGGGCGGTTGGATAGGCATGGGAGTCCCGGGGGACCTATCGGGGGCGGGGCAGTTGGGGACAGGGAATGGGGGGGGGGGGTTTAGATAGGGGTTGGGATCCCAGGGAGATGGTTAGGGGTGGGGGGAGTCCCGGGATGGGGCAGTCAGGGGACTGGGAGCAGGGGGGGTTGGGTGGGCCAGGAGTTCTGAGGGGGGCTGTCAGGCGGCAGGACGTGGGAGGGGGCGGGGCCAGGCTGTTTGGAGAGGCACAGGCTTCCCTATCCGGGTGTAGTGTATTAAAATTGCTCCCCATAGGAATGTGCTACTTAGGGCATACTACTTACAGCTGCCAGTCCTGGTGCTCCATAAGTAGCACATTCCTACAGGGAGCAATTTAAATACACTACACCCGGTGGCTCTCGCAGCCGCACTGCCCAGCAGGACCTCGCAGCCCCGCCGCCCAGCGCGCTGGCAACACGGCAAGCTGAGGCTGCGGGGGAGGAGCCAGGGGCTAGCCTCCCCAGCCGGGAGCTCAAGGGCCGGGCAGGACGGTCCCGCAAGCTGGATGTGGCCAACGGGCCGTAGTTTGCCCACCTCTGGACTAGCTACATTTTCATGCAATGTGTTTTTACCCCTTAACTATAATTCAGAGAACTAAAAATGTTTAAAACTAAAGACCCCCAAAGTTAGCAGTATTCTACTTCACATCTAGACGCTTTCAAACCCATATATTCATATTTTTAAAATTGATTGAAACATCTTCAAATCAAGTTTATTTGGCTTGTTTTGCTGATCACTTTGAAAGTTATGTTTGACCTCTCGCCTTTCTAGCTTTAGCTGATAGAGCTATGCAGATGTTGGACCGCAGAGCACACACACTATGCAAAAGGTGAAAGTATTTTTCATCAAAAACTTTCCCCCAAAAATTCCATCCACAGGCAGAGGCATGGAGAACTCCACTTAATAGAAGTTATTTGAAAACATTTTGAGTACTGAGAAGAGAAAGACTGTTCAAATGGAAGTTAGATCTCAACCTCAAGTAGGGTGACCAGATGTTCCAATTTTATAGGGACAATCCCGATATTTGGAGCTTTTTCTTACAATAGGCACCTATTACCGCCCACCCCCGTCCCGATTTTTCACACTTGTTATCTGGTCTCCCTAACCTCAAGTGGTACCAGGACTTGATATTCGATATACAAACAAGAGTTTTACTAACCTACACACTCTAAGAGCGTAATCTGACGAGCCACTGTTCTTTGTACCAGGAAAGGAAGACCAGAGCCACTTCCAGATGTGCAGGAATGGTCCAATAAGTCCTATTTAAAAAGGGGAGAAAGGGAGAGGAAACATCTGAGAAACGTAGAGTATGTGGACTTTTTATCCAAATACATAACTGTACATGTTCCCACTTGTTCACACAATGTTGATCATTTTAAAGATTATTAGGATAGCTCCCTAAAACCTGATTAGCATCAGGACCACATTGTGCTAGACATGGTGCAGACAGGCAGACAGCCTGCCCTGAGGAGTTTACAGTCTTAGACCACAAGCTATAAATGGAGGGTGGGGGAAGAGGGAGATACAAGTTTTACATACACACAGTCATTTTCTATTGCAACCCACTGCCAGAAGTATTCTTCAGACAATGTAAGAGAAGAGGCCTCTCAAGTCTGTTCCTACTTTTTAGTTAGCAATTGTACCTGCCACAATACCATTTTCCTCCAAATATGTTTTGCAATGAAAAAGTGATTGACATTTACTGCTCCTACTACTGCCCTTGGGATTTTGTTTGCTGAATGCTAGTTACTCTGTAATGAAATTCTACCTAAATTATTTTAACACTCTGCCTTCCCTTTGCCCTCTCAATCCTATATTTGTCACTATCTCAAATGACCTTATATCTGCTTTACTCCCTGTGTTAGAACTTTCTATGTCTCACAGGAGGATTTCCTTCCAAAGCATAGAGGCTTCATTTCTTTGAGCTTTCCAAATTTAAGACCCTTCAACTCCCTATATGATTACGGGAAAGTAAAAATGCAGTGTTTACCTTTTAAAATCTACATAAGCTTTTACTTTACCTTTTCAAATTGCAGTACTAGCATACTCTTTTCAAAAAACGGTTACCAGAATTGCACATTGCTGTAAATGTGGCCTTGCTAATCACAGAGACAGGAGTTTAACCATAACTAATAGTTGATACATCACCATATTTAAAAAAAAACTTTTGCTTTAAAGAATCCCTAAAGGGAATCTTACATTATAAAAAGAGATCTTTAGAACTTAAAATTTTTACATTTGCCAGTCAAAACTAAAAAGATTAAATTTCAATAGAAAATTAAAAACCTGAAAGAGGAAAATATACACCTGCTGTAGAAGTTTCTTTTCTTCCACCCTTCCAAGACCTGGTCCACATTCAGATTTTGTACTGGTTTAACTTTCAGTTCAGGAGTTGATTTTTTGTTGAAATAGTTACACACCAGTACGACCCCTCTTAGTGTAGATGCAGTTATACCAGTACAATCCTGCCCATATGGGAATAAGCTATTCCAGGATAAGCATCTTTCTTCTAGTATAAGAGTGTTCACCCTAGGGCAGCTGCACCACTTTAACTATGGGGTATAGTTGGAGCTGTACAACTTGTGAGAGTAGATAAGTCAAGCTCTAGCACAAAGGTTCCAGTTCAACAAAACCATTCCTATTCAACAAAGCATTTAAAAACATGTTGAAGGCCTACTAATTTTAAATTGAATTTAAGCATGTGCTTAACTACTTTGTTCCACAGGGGCCAAAGAAAGCACCAAAGTTGTTCTTGCATATTAAAACCCAAGATCTGTTTGTTATTGAAAACCTGTGAGTATTCCACAGGGTGGCAGCACTTGAACATTCCAAAATGAGACTTTCTGAATGTCAGTTTTCAAAGTAAACTACGCTTTAAAAAACAGGGATGGGATGCAGGGGAGTGGCTGCACTTTTTGTTGTCAACATAAGCTCACATGCTCAAAACCTATTACTAGCCCATCTATTTATGTATGTAAAACACACACAATGGACAGAATAAGTCTTCTAGCAAACAGCATATGATCCACAGGCACTGATTTTCCAAAGTGCTGGGGGTGTTCAAACCCCAACTCTGCCCCCATTCCACCCCATTCCCCGAAGGCCCCGCCCCCAAGCACTCCACATCAACGCTCCTCCTCCCTTCCCCCCAGAGCCTCCTGCATGTCGCGAAACAGCTGATCACAGCAGGTGGGAGACACGGGGAGGGAGGGTGAGGCGCTGATCTGTGGGGCCCCTAGAGGGAGCTGATGGGGGGGGGGGGCTATCAGTGGATGCTCAGCACCTAAAGTTCCCTCTAAGCTGTGCAGCCGCACAGCTGCCTATTAAGCCCCGTGCAGGGGCTCAGGGCTGCGGTGGGGAGAGACGCCTCTCCTCAAGCATGGACCTGCCCCAGCCGGGGGAGAGGCGCTCCCTCTCCACCGGCCCCAGCACAGACATACCCGCAACCTGCTGTGGCCGGAGGAGAGGAGCCCCTGCCGCAGCCCAGCTGCGCTGGAGCTGCTGCAGCCAGGGAGAGGTGACTCTCCCATGGCCCCGAGCTGCTGTGGCGAGAGAGGACTGGGAGGAGTCCTCTCCCCACTGCAGCCCGGGGGCAGCCTGCACCCCAAACCCCTCATCCCCAGCCCCACCCCAGAGCCCTCAGCACCACCACCATCCCAACTCTAGCCCAGAGCCCCCTCCCGCAGTCCGAACCTCTCAGCCCTACCCCCACTACGTGCCTTTTGTTATGTGCACCAATGTGTCACACATCACCTTCATATTGGTGCACTTAACAAAATTCATTCCACACTGGATGTAAAAATGTAGAGGGAACACTGCTCAGCACCCACCATTTTTTCCATGTGGGTGCTCCAGGCCCAGAGCACCCACGGAGTCTGTCAGGCTATTAAAAGACAATAATTAGGGTTAAAAGGATTAGATGAGCAGCTCTCAAACTGTGGGTCAGGACCCCAAAGTAGGTCGCAAACCTATTTTAATGGGGTGGCCAAGGCTGGTGTTATACTTGCTGGAGACCGGGGCCCTTGGGCTTTGGTCCCCCCTCTTCCCCCGCCTCACTCCCCTTGCCTGGGGCAGTGGGGCTCGGGCGGACTCAATCTTTGGTCTACCCTCCTGGGGAGGTGTAGTAATTTGTCGTCAGAAGGAGGTCATGGTGCAATGACGTTTGAGAACCGCTGGATTAGATTATTCGGTGTCGGTAAACATTTACTTTAAAAAACGCACACAACCACCACCACCACCAAAAAATAAAAAAAATAAAAAAACCCAATAATAGTAGAAATTTACAAATAGGCAAAGAAAGAAAAAAGCTGCTTGAGCATTGGAGTCAAAATCCAGAGATTTAGACGTTTGAATTGGGCTCTGTAAATGGACTAGCAAGTGAATAGTAAAGCTAGGTATGATTTTTGATTCAAGGAGTATTTACTTTGTATATTTTGACATGTGATATTGACAATTTGTGCTTTAGCATTTTATAAAGCTTTAACTTTCTGAATCTCAACACCTACTATCAAATAATTGTCTGATCCCTCCCCATAACTGCCTACAACTATGACAATTTTAATGCTTTAAAATGAACACCAATATTATCAGTTTAAATTAAAAATTGAATTCTGCCAAACCTAATACATACACACAAGGGGGCTGAATAAAAGTTGCACAGGGCAACCTTCACTCTGGCATTTCCTAACTTGAAGTGCTTGACTTCTCAACCTTAACATTCTTTTAAATATAGGAAATTACATCCATTAAAAAAAAATCTAAAAGTAAAAAAATTAAATTTGATCACGTGGAGGCATACTGACCCCCATATGGGACAAGTGCAAGGTTGGGCTCAGTTGATCCACAGTTCTACCACTTGAACTAACTGATAACTGGTAGCAGTAGGAGACTATTATCTTTTATGTGGGCCTGCCATTACAGGGAGATGGAAATACTCTGCCAGTGGATTTCACACCTATTTGTGGGACAACAAACGAATATGGAGACTCAGGAACAACAGGTTTCACTCCAGGTTCTGTTGGGGAGGGTTCTCTAGTTTATAGAGCTTTCTGGCCCTTATCCCCTCCCCCTCCAACACCTCTCTGCCCATATTCCTCCCTCTTCTCCACACCCCGGTTCCTATCTCCCACCTCACTGCCTTCTACCCCATTTGCTCCTATCTCTGTCTCCCATACCAGCTCCTGACCCTGTCTCTAAACCTCGCATCTCTTCCCCCTCTCTGCTTCCTTAGCTGCTTCCTTCTCCATGCTGCCTATGCAGTGAGGGATGTGGGCTGCGGGCTGCTGAGAGCATGGGAGAGTGTGTCTGCTCTCAGTTCCTGATTACAGCAGCACATCGGTCCCCCACAGCCAGAATGGAGAACACACAGTCACACTGTGGGGATGACATGTTCAGTCTGATTGGCACAAGGGATTGCACATGATCAGCGCAGATGAAGTCTTCAGGGAGTTTAGCTGCTCAGGTCTAAACAAATCTCTGCATGCCCAACCAGATTTTTTAGCCTCTTAAAATTTGGCCAAATTTCCATGAAGATAGCAAAAGACATGTTCCTGATATCAGGGTCATTCATCCCTTTGCTCCAAAGCTAGACCTTTTTAAAACCAAAACTGTTTTGTTGAAAAGCATGGGCAAAACTCTTCTCATTTGCAAAAATGGCTGAACCCTTTTATCTGGAACTTCAACCCAAAAATTCAGCCTAAAGCAGAAAGACACCACAGAAATTTTCAGCCCAAACCATTTAATTTTGACAACTGAAGATGGGTGTCGGATAATGGAAAGCTGTTGGCAACCTTAACTATAGGGAATGCTACCTGACCTAATTTTTTGAGAGGGGGAAGAGAAGGAAACAATACTGTCAACCATTTAAGTGACAAATCTTTATCTTAATGTTAAATTTTTCAGTACTAAAAAGAGTGGGAGGTGACTAAAAAAGTTTAACTGTAAACTTAAAAATAATGAATAAGGAAGATTCCAATACATTGTTAAAATCCTATTACTCTGTTAAAATACTACCATCTATTTTTGTATATTACAAATCCAGTTAAAAAAAACCATCAAGTGGAAAGGTCAACACTATCGAACTTCTATTTTTCTTGGAGGAGAAAGCAGAGGAGGAAGATTTATAATCCTTGTTCTAATATTTCATAAAAAAACAAATTGTGCTTTCAGGTTTCGACCAGAAATTGCTGAAGCCTCATTTCACCCAACAAGATTTTAAGAAGTACGCTCAGAAACAAGATAATTTGAGAATGACAAGATTGTCCGTAAAACAAACAGGGCCCTTTATCCAAAATGTGAACTAACTTCTCCCTTCTTTCTCCCCCTCCCCAGCTCATTCTGGACTGAAGCAAAATACTATCTGCAGCAACGACTGTAAAAAACAAGATTTTAAGGAGCTACAGCTTTCTTCATTCAGGAAGCTTAGTGCAATAAATATTTGCTACACTGTGGGAACGAATCCTAAATGTAAACAAATCTGATGTATTACAAAACCCAAGCTTTTTCTCCTCTTTGAGTGCTTAAATCGGGAACATGAAAAATGAAAGAATTATAGTTGAGATGAACACTCATATGTGACAAGGAACTATCAATTTTGTACATAATCAAAACTCAGTGGAGTCACATTAAATGCACTGCATACATAAAGTTTCATTCTCAGAGCACCATGTAATGCTTAAATTGGAAGTAGCTTTTAAAGTTAGTAACGTCACCTCATTCCTTTTAAAAAGGAAGCTTTGATGTATTCTTGTTTGCTGGCTGATTTGACCTGCCCTTACTTGAACATTTTCAAGGGGGCACTAGATGACTCTGGTGGCGGGGATATAGACCGGATTCTGAGATATAGACCAGATTCTCTTCTGCACTAGGATGCCCTCCAGATTTTTTGCTACCTACTCCTAACTTGGTTTCTGTGCTGCAGGGTAGAGACAAGGCAGGGATGCCTGACAGTAAAAAGAGGCAGGACTGGCTCTTCGGGTTCTAACCGGCTCCTCCTCCTAATCAAGGTATCCTCTTGACAATGGTGCCACTTGGTGGTCACCTCATAAACCTAGGAAAATGATAAAACAACTTTCCCGAGGGTCAGGTTTCTGAATCCATCAACTCAGCACCAATCCACAAAAACAGGTTTTTAGAAGCATCTCACTTTATAATCTCCGATTTGTTTAAATGCAGGCATCACTTCACAGCTCCCTGAGTAGGGATTTCCACACTTGACTGTTCCCAAGCATCTTTACTTTAACAAGTCCTCACAACTAGGCCTGCATGGCATTCACCAACTTTCAGGTAAAGAGAAGTGGGCAGAAATTCTTGAAGCAGTCAGCAATGCTCCGTTACTTGGTGATGGGGGCAACCTTAAAAAAAAAAAAAAAAAAAAAAAAACAAA